CTTTGAGTATCTAATTGTCATTTTACCAGTTTCTGCCACTAAAACATATGCCACAACACAAGAAAATTATTCAGTTTCCCTTGGTTTTCCTTTAGAAAACTATTAGGCAAAAGTTCTTGTTCAGAAATAGTCTGACTTCCCAAGTGGAAGAAGGATAAGGACCCATCAACTGAAAAAGGCAAACCAGGTTTTATTTTGAGTCTAAGTACTGCCAATGTGTGCAACTTTGCTAACCAATCCAGCTATATCTGAGGGGAGACACAAACTGGTGAGGGTTCAGCTCTTGCTTTAAGTTATGGAAGAGATTTAGTGGATTGCAAAAGAAAGGGAGAAAAGGATTCTAATCCTAACAGCAAATTGTACTCCTTTTAAACACCTACAGAGCACACTGAACCTGAAATGGAGCTCTTCATCCAAAAGACTGAGGGATTAACAATGCTTTAAAGGAAAAAGGCTTTTTTCTATACCTTCTGTTGAAATGCTTCAAATCATGCTGTGATAACATGGACAAGAATTCCCCACAAGCTGATTTACTCATTTTGCTACTGCCTCATTAGGGTACAAAAACTCAACATTTGATCTAAGCCAGCAATTTTCCAATGCCTCTCAAAACTCCTGCTTTATCTCGACAAGAACATAGCAAATTCTTCCCAGTTCACTTAGAACATGAAAACACATGGAAATCTGCCTGTGGATCCAGCATTGGTCAATGATGCAACTGCTCCCAGCTTCTCAGCACCAGCAGGAGGTTTTGATGCCCAAAGCTCTGACAGGAGAAAGGACTGTGAGAACACTCCTCAATCTGCTGTTGGCAGAAGCACTCGAATTAGTTCGAACTTCACTCACCAGCTGCACACCAACAGCCTTTTCCAGACTCAGCTGCACTAAAGAAGTCACTGATCTCACTTCCAGTCACCATTTCCTCCATCTGCCAGTTAAACTGCTCCTCCAAGCCTCCCAATAGATGCTTCAATTTGATAGAATAAGAGACCTACATCTTACACGGTTAAAAGTTCAGGAAGTGCTCCCTGTAACAGCTCATTCAACAGAGCAGAGGAGGTGGCAGAGGGCAGGAACAAAAAGCCAAGGATATGGCACCAGGATGGCCTCTTTCACAGCAGCAGGTATTGCAAGGACTGCATCCATTTATGTCTTGCTTCACTTAACATAAATTAAAATGCTTTAGTTGGATACCTACAGCAAAGTATCACACCTCACTTGGCTGGGAACAATTCTTTCAACGACTGTGGCAGGTTAAGTGCTAACCAATTACACAGAACGTTTTCTAGAAAAGTACAAAACTCAGGACTGGATTTTTGCTAAACCAAATCCAGCTATGTTATTTTCTATCTGTATGCATTTTAGATGTTATTTTTTGACTCAGAGATGCAAGCTATCCAAAACTATACATTCAAAAAGAAGGAGCAACTCTGCTATGCTCTACAGTCACAGCTTTAAAGATATTTATGGCATTTGTTCTGACAAGCTTTAGCCTTCAGACCATTTTATACACGACTAGACAAAGATCTTTCATACACGACAGTACACACTTGCTAACAAACCTGAGGAGGGGACAGAAAAGTTAAGAATGTTATTAAATAAGGGACAAAATTCCATTTCATACACAAATTCAAGTTACAGATTAAAGAATAATAAGAACTGATCTTGGGAAGGAGAGTAAAGAACAAAAATTCAGCAGCACATGAAAAAAGACAGGTGAACAATGTAGTATATAATTGTTTATGCAGAAACCAATGGCTGCTTAGAGGTAATGCCCCATTTCCTTACAGAGATCCAAGATAAGGAGTTGAAAAGAAACCCTGGAATAAGCATCCCACAGCCATCTCAAATCTACACTTTGCTTCAGCAGACTGGATCTGAACATGCAATAACCAATTATTTTTGGAAACATAATTCTATAGATTGGAGAAAAGTGCATGTCAAAAAATGACACATTGACAGGATTCTCATAATGCATACATTAAACTGCAGGAGACTAACTTATGCACAAGAGTAGCAGTGCAGGCTGTTCTGTAATTAAGGCTGCTGCCCTTCATAAATCTGTTTCCAGGCATTATTTCCTCTAAAATACTCCTTCAACAAGTAATGAAATCAAAATAAGATTATAGACAGGCCCAAAGTGCCATTTTCCCAACAATACTTAATCATCATCTGTTGCTGACTTACCATCTCCCAGAAAGAGCTTTCCAACACCGCTTCCCAAAATCTCCCGACACTGTCATACAGCACATTCGTCCACCACCTCCAAGAAAAGTCAAGGAGGATTCACAGAGAACCACAGAACCCCAGCTTTAATGGGCTCCCACAGATGCTACCTATCAGCCAGAGTAAGCACCACGCTGAGGCACTCACATTGATTCTTCTCGCCTAAAGAATACGGTGTGAATGACCTCATTATTCAGGTCTTGCACTGCCAAACGACTCCTCTTTCCATCACTAAAAGGCTCCACGTGGAATGCAGCGTTTAACAAAACCCCCCGGGGTCATTTCTAACTGGCCGTTCCTAGGTGGGATGGACACGGGAAATCTGCCACTAAAAGCCTGACTGGGCTCAACACCTCTGCAGTCCTTGAGCCCAGTGGTGGCAGGATTACAGGATATTCTCGCACTCCTATCGAAAGCTCCTTAGCTGTCACACCCATGAATTACAGCACTTCGTATTTACTGGCTACTGCCTAACTCTCTTCGTATCTTTGAAATGAGAATTCGAGCACGCTGAAAATTTCAGATGCAAATCACTTCAACTAATCAGGACACCCCAGGTGGTTCATGTTTTTATCCAGGTAGTAAAAGTTGAAGCATAGTCGTCTAGCTCACCGAATCCGAACCATGCTGTCAACACATTTTAAAAGAATTTTATAAAATGGACGGTATGCCACATTTTAGCCATTTCGAAGTTTATGTTGCTCCATTACCTGATAATTCACTCAGAGAACATGGTGTCACCAAAGGCCAATTTTCCCTAAAGTGTCAAAAAAATGCAACTGTATCAGTTACTTTTAAAAGCCTGGAATACAGCACCTTGAAACTTTAAACACATAAAGGTATTTAAAAAGATGTGGTTGCTACATCTCTTAGTCAAATGAACTCTGGGGAGAAGTAGATTCGTGAAGTGGCGATACAAAGACATCAAGTTTAATTAACAGAGGCCACTGTAGCGAACTGACTTTTAACAGAATAAACCCCAAACCCAGGACATTTGCGTTGTGCCCAGAGCTGAGCCTAGTGCACTCGACCTAAACCATTCGGCTGGTTTGAGGCCGTTTCACGGACAGACTTTAACCAGGCAATACAAAATAAAGACTATGGTGTAAGGCAAACATACTGAAACATGAGAAGAAATGAAAGCCAAAAACTTAACCTAAGATAAAAGAAGAAAAAAGGCAGAGGCAGAATTGTGTTTAAGATGAGAATGGTGCTACTACTTTGTTCTGTCTCCTCCACTTTTCCTTTATTCCTCTTAACAGACACACGAAATCAAAATACAGACAATCACTGCAGCAGATTTAGTGGCTGACCCTTCCCAAATCTTTAATAAATAGTTTCTGGAGCACTGCTGACAAACCTAACCCAGTACACTGCACACCCCTCAAAATTACTGATATTTAGCCAAATCTGTTTTTACTCATGAGAAAAGTACTAGTTGATCTTGACAGCAATTTACAGTTTTCTAAAATAAAGAGTGGCCAAGAAGTGCAGTTACAAGTACCACATTTTGGATCTTCCAAGATTTAAATGGACGCACGTCTTAACATTATTTTTGCCATTGAGACTTCGGTAAATTGAGAAGCAAGAAGTTACTTAATTTCTACAAAATACTCAAACACTTGACATCACAGTGCTTACTGCAAAACAAAGGCTTAATATCAGGTGCATGCCAAGCCAATGGAAGACTGTCAAAGAAAATGTGTTTCCATTGCTATTTCCTTCTCCTGAATAGCAAATTTTTTGAAAAATAACCAGAACTTCATTTTACCTTTCACTTCAACAATTAATAAATATTCCTAATCTAACATTCACAAGACATACTGCCCTGTAAAACTGCTGTTTAATATTCAGCCAAAGAGCATGTCTCAAATACATTACTCCTCCTAGAAGACAAGACATGAGAAAGAAAGCAACCCCATTAAAAATTGCAGGTTAATACTTCAGTGGAAAAAGGCCAGTGTCAGACACTGCAAGAGAAAAAACCCAACACATTCCCTATTCTGCTTTGGGAACACAAGATCTCTTTGGTTTCAGGTCAGTGAGAAGGGGGCATCAAAATTTAAAATTAAAGACTATTAGCAAAACCACTCCAAGATAACAAACACTAAGGCAGACTGTACTATGTGCCAATGCACCCTAAGCAAAGCGTGCACCACTCTTTTTGTTGGTTTTTTTTTTCCATCACCTCCTAATCCAGCTTTCTATGGACATCACACAAATCCATCAACATGTAGGATGTGCAAATCTCTTCACGTGAATAATCTGAGTAATTCTTAGACCCCATATAACAAACAGCTATTCCTCACTTCTTTTTCTATCTCGTTCCATCTTCCTCATAAAGTGAAACCTTTCTTCGGTGCTGAAAACTCATTTTAAAACGTTTTTTAAAAGAGACGGTAAAAACCAGGCCGTGACGTAGTTTGCTCGCAAGTCTACTTACACTTTATACTACAATGTGGTAGATAGACCCACATGCAAAATTATCCAACATGCGGCAGAAATTTCAAGAAAATGAAAACATAATAGATGAAGCGCCCTGTGTCCCACTCCAGCCAGCCCTGGCTATATTAGGGAAGGGGAAGGGCCGGGCTGGCCCCGCGGGACCGTGACCCCCGGCCGGGCTGCACCCCCGGCCCCGCGGCCGCGCCCCCCCTCCCTCAGCGCTGCCCCCGCTCTGCGCACTGCGGGCGCGGCCCCCCCTCTCCTCCCTCAGCGCACTGCGACCCCCGCCCGCCGGAGCGCCTTCCCCGGCGGCATCCCGGGCTCCTCACCGGGGCGGAGCGCTCCTTCCCGGGCTCCTTCCCGGGACGCCGCGCCCGGCGGGTGGCGGCTCCTCACACACGAGGGGCGCCGAACCCAGCGCCGAGCGCCGCCCGGGTTCCTCCTGCTGCTGCCGCGGCGGGGAGAGAGACCCCGCCCCCAGACTGCCACCTCCAATGGCTGTGCGGGACGCTAAGGATGGACAGCCCCGCGGACCAATAAACGTCGCAGCGCCCTCCCCCCGGAGCTGCCGCGGAGTGGTGCCGCTCGGCCCTTACGCGAAGCCGAGCCCGCCCGGAAGGCGGCGACCAATCGGAGGGCACGGCCACCTTGACAGACAACCGTGAGCACCAGTAAGAGCGGCGCACCGGCACCGCAAAGCCCGCCCCTTGCGTGCAGCCCATGGCCGCGGGTAGACGGAGCGATCCCGCGGCTGTGGTAGTGCGGGATCTTAGTGGCCTCCGCTCTGTGTCCCGGCCGCTTTCCCTTCACCCGCGCCTGAGCTGCATCCCTGATCCCGTCCTGTGGTGTATCTCGAGCAGCAGCTCCCCGGTTCCGCTGGGTCCCCGCGCCAGCGCTCCCGCAGCCGCACGCCGCCCGCACCATGGTGGGGCAGGCTGGGATCTGTAGTCGGGGCTTGTCCCCGCAACCTCTCGCTCTCCCGGCTCCTCGCCCCGGCCTTCACCGTTCTTCCCAACCCCGAGAGCCGGCGGCACTGCCCCATCCAGCCCGGCCCTTAGAGCGCCATCCTCGCCTCCCCCCGTCCCCATCCCCGCTTCCCCCTTCCCGCCCCTCCGGCTCCCTCAGCCCGCCCGCTCCAGCGCATCAGGGGCTGGCACAACGCACGGCCGGGCGCGAAGATTATTTATTCCCCTGGGGAAACGGGGCCAGGGGCGAGAAGGACGGGGACGACAAAAAATAAGGGAAAAGCGGCGGCCGGGCCCAAAAGCGCTTCCCGTCCGTGACCTCCGGCCATGCGTCACTTCCCGGCGGCCGTTCGAGCGCGGAGCCCGCGCCCGTGAGGGGCTGCCCGGGGTGGGACGCGCTCGGGGTCGGTCGCCAGCCCGGGACCAGCTGCCAGGTGACTGCTGTTTGTCACCAGCCCGTGTTTGTGACAGGTTTCACTTCTTGCGGTTGCTGCTGCTCGGTCGTCGCATGGTGTGCTCAGGTACTTCTGAGATTGCAGCTGCAGGGACTTGCGTAAGTAAAATAAAAAACTTGCCCCCAGGCAGGTGTTGAGGTGTGCGCTTCCCTCCAGCTCGGTACAGCGGCCTGTGGAAAAACTGTTCTATGCTGAAGAACTGTGTGGTGTCCTTTGCTCCATTTGATTGCTTTCTCTTGTTCTGATGGGTAGATTTTCTATTCTTTGTTATCCCACTGGTGGTTTCTCAGAGCAAGAGGGACAAGGAGCTACTGGAGAGGGGCCAGCGGAGGCCACAAGGTGATGAGGGGTCTGGAGCATCTCTCTTATGAGGAGAGACTGTGAGAGCTGGGCCTGTTCAGTCTGGAGAAGACAGGACTGAGAGGGGACTCATTAATGCACATTAATATCTCAAAGGTGGGTGCCAGCAGGATGGTGCCAGACTGTTTTCAGTGGTGCCCATCAGGATGAGGATGAGGAGCAACGGCCTTAAAATGAAACAAAGGTTCCACCTCAGCATGAGGGAGAACTTCTTTACAAAGATGGGAGAGCACTGGGACAGCTGCCCAAGGAGCTCGTGGATTTTCCTTCTCTGGAGACATTCCAACGCCACCTGGATGTGTTCCTGTGTTACCTGCTCCAGGTGACCCTCCCTTGGCAGGGCAGTTGGATGGGGTGATCTCCAGAGGTCCCTTCCAACACAAACAATTCTGTCATTCTGCAAAATAGTTGATTAATCAATCAACCAAGATGTTCTTAGAGCCTTGAATTCCCTATTAAGTTTTACTGAACATGCAGTCATGGAGCAGTTAAGTCCATCAAGAGGAAATTTATGAAGCAAAACCCTTGGTGGAAAGACTCATTTGTCTTAGTCACGTGTTGCTGAGCTGCATTAAAGGGCTATACTTAGTGGCCTGTAAAAATAAGTGGGTTTATATTACGTAATCAGCTTGTGTTGACAAACAGCTATTGGAAAACTTAAAGTAGTCCTTGAACTTGTCATCAGTCTTGCACCCAACTTTCCAATAAAGAAACAGCCCCAGGGGTAATATCCACAACAAGCTGGGTCTCAGCTGCTGCTTCTGGAAGGATAAGGGCCTATAGTGAAATGCATTATAGCAGCAGCAGTGATTAGAAAGAAATTCAACATTGGGTTTTTTCAAATTTTATTTTATTGTTTGCACTGCCCTTATCCCTTAGTAGCTGCTTACTATTCCAGATCATTTATGATTGATTGAATATGATAGAAGTTGGAGCAGATTACTTGGAAGTACTGCTGCTGTTGTTTCTCTCATGTATGAGCTGTCTACTTGCTTGAATTTAAAAAAAAGTTTCAGGACGATTTTTTAATATGGCATCTGTTTTCTTGGAAGTTTGAGAGAGTTTTTCAAAAGTTTTCCTGGAAATTATAGTTAGTGTACAAATATGTTTATAAAATTTATTGTGTTTAAATTCAGTTTTGAAAAGCAGTGGGAATTGGACTGCATCAAATAGTTTATAAGTACATTGTTGTAGAGCCCTTTCAAAAAAATTTCATCAGACTGGAAAAATGGGAATCACTTTTACAAAACACTGTTATTTGGGGACTCCCACCAAATAAAAGCATTTATCCTGGTGTGCATGGGTTCTTCACTTCACATAATTTTTTGCTGATTTTTTATGCCCTATGAATGAATCATACTGTAGGTCCAATCTTCCTCATCCCTGCTTTTAAAAGCTGGGATCATTTACCACTATCTAGTCCTGAGATACTTAAACAACTTTAGATTAATAGTTACTGAGTTTAGTAATTCAACTTTTTCATCCCTGATTTCCTTTAAAACACTTGAGTAAATACTCTAGAGTTTGAGTTTTTTAACTTATGAGACTTGTGCAGCTGAATCAAGTCTCTGAATGAAAGGCTAGGTCTCTACACAAAACCTTTTAGGTCTATTTTGTCTGAAAGAAAATGAATCTCCAGAACTGGTGATCTGGAGATGTGGGAAGGTCGATGTGATCTGTGTTACAGCACATTAAGGACACAGAAAAAAAAACCATGAAAAGTAGTAGTTAGAGAATACAAGCACTGGTCTTTCTCCCTTTATATCTTCTAAATCTGCAATGACTAGAACAACAGATACAGTCTGGTCTTCTGCTACATCGACCAAATTCTTTTTTAAAACAGACTATTTTTATTTCTTGACATTGCTACAGTGTGTACATAAGTACTCCGTCTCAAAACGTACATGACCACCATTGCCACAGTCATTGCATATGTTGTTTTAATAACCATTGTTCCCCACATGTGGAGTTCTTTAATTATCACCTAGTCTGTAATTATTCACCATTCATTTATATAATCATTCACCTGGAGAAAAAAACTAAACAAAAACTTGTACACATCTGGAAGTTAGTGCTTTCTGTTTTGCTGCTTTCTAAGATCTGCAAAGTCAGTTTTAACCTTGTTAATGAGTGATGCAGAAGCATTTTTCATTGTAGTATTGCTGTGTACTGATGACTCATGTGCCTCCTCTAATTCAGATCTGTGCTTCTGAAACTGCATGGTTCCTATTCAGTGTTTCAGTGAAAGGATCTTGTCATGATCTTGTTCAACAGAAACTTAATTATGTTAACATTTCATTCTCATATTGTCACTCACAACAAGCTATGTAGGGAGCTGATCACAAGTACATCATTATCTCTGCATTTATAGAATAGAAAATTATCAAAGAAAATGAGTCACAAATTTTCTTTAGAGGTGAATCTCAGAACTGAGTGTTGAACAGCTTTGTTGGGCCCACCAATCCTGCAGCATTGTTGACTTGTGTGCCTCTACAGAAATGTTTTAGTTTTTGTCTTTAGTTTGTGTTTGCCAGCAATCACCATACCCTAATCAACTTTTAAAGGAAAAAAAATGCACAGTGGAAAATATTGTGATAGAACTGAAGTGATTATGGTTATTTTCCCAACAGTTAGAATAGAAACATCCATATTTGCTCAATTGAGAGCAGAAGCAGGTATTTATTTACTGGAGCTTTATGATTTTTTTTCCTGGGAAATGTTTGTCTTGGGTACACAGGGGCTTTCCGTCTTCTGTTAAGCAAAGCTCTGTGGTGGACATGCACGAAAGAGCCTGGTACTCATCACAGTATTGTATCTGCTGCTGAGTGTTCCAGAGGCCCAAGGTATAGGAATACTGTTTCTGTAAAGCTATACCAAAGATTCCACTTAGGAAAATGGGGAACAAAATTGCCACAGTCAATACAATGCTCGTGTCCCAACTTGTGTGTGTTGTTCAGTATTACAAATTTAAGTTCACTATTCTTCCCTCATTGCCCAGCAGAATGGTGTGTCAGAATGGTTGTGGTCGAACACCTCTTCTTTGTAGAAGTGGCAGTGGAGGCCCAAGAAGGAGTGCCTGGAAGTTCCACTGTTACTCTGTTCAATCCTTCCACAGTGAGAATGTCATGGAACTTCCCTGGAGGCTCATCCACAGCATTTTCTTTACATTCCCCTGAATGCCTGATATGTATCCTGGTAGACGTGTCTGTAATTCATCCTGTAACCAAAAAAGGCACTTGCTCATTTTCTGTCTGCCTGAATGTCACTAGCCTTACTGGCAATGCCACTGAGAGATCCACCAAAACTCTTGAACAAAAATGAATCAGGAATCCACATTTTTCATCTTTAAGCACACTATGAGAATTTTTATTGATTAGTTCTGTGGTTTAAGATTGTTTCTTTCTTAGGGAAATAAAGTTCTTCACTGTTTTTTCTTTTTTTCTTTTTTTTTTTTTTTTCCACTTCCCCAAAGTGGGCATATTTTTTCCTTTTTTTGTGATTTAATTTTTAGGATTAAAAATTTAAAGGACTGTTAGTTCCATCGTCAGAAGGTTAAATAACCTTCTGTTATTTAATTTCTGTTATTTAAAATCTGTTTTTTCCTGAAACTCTTCTGAAAATGTTCACTAAAAGAATTATATTTCAATGTCCATGAGTAAGCTCGATTTGAATGGCAAAT